TAGGTAGTGAATGTTTGAAGGATACATGTTTCCAAGTATTGTAAGTAAGTTAGTACAGGCCACGCTACTTCTGCGGGAGGACGAGACGACGAGTTCAGGAACACAAGCTGTTTGCAGTAGTACCGAAAATTGGACTGGGAGCTGCCTGATGCTCGCACTCGCTGTTCCACTCACTCAGTTCCACGCACTCGGCGCACTGGATACCGCCTGATTTCCTGAGCGCATAATTGAGTTACCGAGGCACATAGCGCCGGGTATCATATCCTCCGCTTGCTAAGGGGCCTCCAGTCTCGCTCGGTGGTGTCCAGAAAGGGGATGGCAATGTACGGAGAAAAAACTGCTTTTATGGGTACCGTTCAGCTGGTTGTATTGAAGTACGTAGTTTATATGCCCCTACTTACTGTTTAGCACTGGTCTAATTCCGAACCGTTTCTCTGAAAGCGCTAAGTATCAAGAAGTGAGAGGACTGCCTTCCAACCAGCCTATTTACCAAATAGGCGAAAAACGGTCGTTAAAGTCGCGCAGCGAGATAGGTCCCTGGCTTAGCTGAGCCCTCAGTTTTCTCAACTACCGCAGTGCCTTCCACTGCTGATGAAGCAGATGGCTAGCAGTAACTGTTCATTTGATGTTCAGTTTGGATTTAAATCTTTCAGGCTGCTCGAATGTCCAAAAGACGAAGTCTTCGATAACGTCAAGCAGGGTTGCACTTCACCTGATGAAGTCGTAGCGTGCAGAGCTGCCGATGAACCCACCGAAAGTACGACATCCAGCTCTGGCCCAAAAACTGGTATGTTCTTTTACTGTGACCTTATTCTCGTCATAAATTAGTTATGCTTTAGACTGCGAGGGCTTGGCTGACGGGTTCTTCGAAAAGGAACCATGCTCGTCATTCTTCCTCACATGCTCAGGCGGAGTGTCAAGGATTCTCACGTGTCCAGCTAACCTTGTATTTGACCAAAAGTGGGTTTCTACGCCTTTTTGGGTCCCTGTCCCATAAAAAATATTGTGAGTTCGTCGTGTTAAGGCTGTCCATGTGCGAGTATCCTGGCAATGTTGAAAGCTGCAACTCACAGCCGGAAGAAGGCTCAGGTCAGAATTGGGTTCTCCAGTGGGTTCTTGTGACTGTCTGAGCCGCTTAGGAAAT